GTTTAAAATGGTAATTATCATGTTTAAAAGTGGTACTTTATCATTAATGTCAATCTCGTTATCAGTTTTTATTTGCCATTATTTATATTAGATTTTTATTTTTCTAATTTAGGGCACAAAACAAACTGAGAAAATCAATGTCTAAGAAAAACTACACCCGTTTTCCCCTCACATGTATGTAATTGTCTGGTCTATAGACTGGTTGTACTAATAAACTACATCTGTCTAACTTTTGCATCTGTATAGTGTACACAACCGATAGATATTATCGGTTAATAACATGTAATACACAATACATAACACACACCGTGAATACCATTTAACGAAAAGAAATGAGTGATAGGTTTCGTGCAAATCATAGCCTAAATGGAGATTATATTCAATATAATCAAGAAAACTATTTTTTCCATAACTGTTTGAATAACAATAGGTGTCTTTCAATGGGCAGAGAAAAGAAAAACACAAAATTAAGCAAATATTACAACAAAAATACCACCAAAAAAAACTATTTTAAGACATGATTTGCATATATGTTATACCTATCCGTCTTTTTCTTCTCGTCCTCCAATTCCCTGTAAGTGTGCTGTAGTTTATCGGTCAGTATCTCAAGATTTTTGGTCAATTTATACTCGGCTTCAAACTGTTCGGACAGTAGGACGAGGTCTCGGGTGGCGTCGTGTAGGGGTATGTCCGACAAGTATAAACCCCGACGGTTCAGGTCGTCCAGGTTTAGCACCGATGGCGAGCACAGGAATAGCACCAGATCTGTTTCGCCCACGTATAGCATCTGGCCTTTTAATCGCATCCTAATTGAATCGATGGTAATTGTAGAGTAATATTGTTTTTAAATGATTTTAATTATATGCTATTTAGTTGTCATTTAGTATTCACTCGTATCGTGTAGTATATAATCTATTGGCTGACAATTTTAATTAATTTAAATAGTTTTTTAATTAATGGATTTTAATCGTGAACTCAATTTATAGCTCAAAATGTCATATATTAAGTGACATTTCGTTTTGCAATATCTATATATCTAATTGATTATTAATTTAATTTTATTTCCTGTTAATGAACACTAAATCTTTTGGGGTTTGCGATAATGATTGATATGGGAAGTGTTGTGAGTGCCGGTGCCATACCTGGTGTGCTCTTTGGCCAGTTCGGTGTTGGCCTCGATGCTTGAATTACTGACCTTGGTCCTCAACACGAATACAGTGTTAATATGGGACAGAATATTGTTGAATGTAAACTCCATGTGCGGTCGTATCATATCCAGCACATCAGTCACCAAACAGTTTGCTTGTGTGAGGGCTGGCAGTACTCGGGCTACTGATATACCGGCCTAACCATTGAGGTAAAGGATTAGGGATAGAAATTTGGAGAGAGAGAGAGAGAGAGAGAGAGAACGATAAGTTTTAAGTCATTTATTTAGTTTACGACTAATTACTTGAAATTTTTTTACTTAAAAATTCTTATGTTATTAAACGAGAAAATAATTAGAAACTAATGTTAAAAACATGTCATATATTAGATACGAATAATCATTAAAATTATTAAATTTTTCTACTCGTAATTATTTATACAATGAAACCAAAAGCAAACCTAACCTTCAAATATACGATACAATCGTTTAATATTTATTTAGTTATTTATTTTTTTTCGTGAAATCATAATTATTTAGCATTATTATTATTTTTTTCTAGATCTCATAAAATTATACCCTTTTTATTATATATTTCTAATTATTATTTATTAAAACACATAAATATTCTTGTGATCCCTTTTCTATGCGATCGCCTAATTAAATAAAACTATTAATTATTATTAAATATAAAGGTTTTTACAATAATTACTATAACGAGAGAGAGAGAGAGACATGAGAATATGGTATACTTTTTGCATACATTTATCTATTAATAGATTTTTATATTCTGTATTGAGATATTGAAATCAGAGTTGCGTTTATCTAATCAACAAAAATAGCAAAATATTATTTAATATGAATTGATTGCGAGTCCGGAATCAGGTTTACATAAATGAGTCGATCGTTTTGCCGGTCTATCGGAAATCCATACGAAATGAATTTGCAATTATTTTTTTCGCAAAACTTTTCATTAATGATTATAAAAATAAATACTTTATAAAAATATTACGGTTAGAGAGAAGTCAGAGGATTGTAATTACATTTGCATCAGAAAAATCTTGTTTTATATGTAATATTTTGTTTCATTAATACCCGTGCGATAGGTATAGGGAGAGCACCGGCCGGAGAGGCAATAGATCTGATTTATTAGATAAGTTTTTTTTGGAGGTCTAAACCAATTATAAATAAATACTATTAGATATTTATGTTATGGTTATGTATAATGTTTTCTCACACACCGAGAAAAAATGATTTTGGTTGAAATGTGATATTATTATACCTGTATATACTG